AAAAAAAAAAAAAAAAAAAAAGAAAAAAAAACGATAATATTAATGAAAATAATAACAATATTACTATATACAATGATGTATTACTATTTATTGAGCAAAGAGGATCTTTGTCGAATGATATTAAGCGTTACATTGAGAGTTGTAGGCGTTAAGCGTTAACTCGTAAGGCTACGGTCATGCATAATTGATGTTTCATATCAATGAATATGTCAATGATACATAATGTAAGTAAAATCACGCTGTTCACGATATCAATTTAGGTCGTTAACGAGGGATCATCTTCTTTATATCGACAATAATTTTCAAAAGTCATTGAAAAAAATATGAGCGTTGGAATTCTCTCTTCGTGGGGTGATCGTAGATCGAGCAACGCTGTTATTTGTTCGATAAAATTTAATTTCGCGCTTTGATATATTCAAAGTGATCGACCGGAGAGAAAAGTAGAACGAATGTCTTGACAATAATCATTGAGAATTTAGAGATAGATGTCCCGACCGGATCATTGAAGAAGAACCACGAAGAGACATCCCGAGGACTGACGTTTTAACGCAAACAGATGTAGGCTTATAAAGCGCTTTCGTAAAAATATCCAAATATTTTGTGGCGTTTCGAGAAAAGCAAACCTCATCGATGTTGTGTAGGCAGAATATACTTATAAACGTTATAAAATGATGTAAAGCGGCCTCCATATATTATGAGAAATATGAAAATACATTATCCATATATGAACACGAGGAGTGAAAATATATTAACAAAATTTTATGAACGTATAGTTTTCTCTTTCTCTCTCGCACTTCGCTCAGGAAATATCGAAAACACTTTTCTCTTGGAAAAGTCAGAACCGCAAAAGGGGGAAATGACTTTCCAGTAGTAAATTAAATTTCTTTATAATTTTTTATTTCAATCTTTTTTTGTCTATTCAGACACATCTATTTCTAAGGAAAGGGAAAGGATAGATATTTCATCAATAAACAATTAGATTTATTAACAATGTTTTATTACCATTTTTAAGTTAATATAATCTTAGAAATGCGAAAAGTATGGCTGAGAATAATAAAATTACGGAGGCTTGAAATTTCACGTTATTGAATATGGCAACATCATCCTTCTCCAAGGAAATTTAAACAATAAAGTAACACTTCAGAATTAGTTTTCGAGAGAAAATACAAATTTTCGAGAAGTTTTCCGAAGATAAGAATTCTCTCGCAACTCTTACACACTATCATCATTTTCGCCAGATCTCGGCTATTAGTTTAAATATTCTTAGCATGATGTACTAAGTATAAGAAACTAATCTCAAATGTGTGCGTATATTCTATACAATTCTATTCTTTTTAAAAAATCTAACGATGATTTTAATTGTGTATAAGCCTCCAGAATTATGCAATATGTTAACGAATCGTAAAAGCAACGAAATAAAGATAAAAAAAAAACATAAATGATATTAGGCACAAGAAAAATATAAATAAATATATTTATAAACTATAAACTCCAATAACATTGTCAATCAGAGAAAGTTACTTCTGCTCGAATATTAGATATAATCGCTAATTAGATGTAGTTATCATTATATCTAATTAGAATTTATTAATCTCACAATTTCCATTAATTTGAAACAATCCACTTTGATTGCTTGTGCCAATTACAAAAATACTTTTTGATTGTCACTCGAACAAGAATGAATTTTTTTCTTTCGCGTCATATTTTATAGAAAAAGTTCGGAGATGTCACACAATAACTGTCATTTAAACTATTTTTCTTATCATTACAAAAGTGCTGTGCTTCTATTAACGTAAAATAGTGCACGATATATATATATTTATATAAATATATATATATATCATTATATTATTTAAACTCTAGAGCAGCAATCTTAAGAGAATCGGAAATAAAATTAAACAGAAAATATAACACAGTATAAAATTCTGAAATAAAAAAATTGTGATGCGCATCATCACATCGGCGGACGTCTGATTATCCATGTAACACTGCTTGAATGCTTGTTCCAAAAATAAGAATTCGTTGCAAACATTCTAATAACTCGAAATATTCTCAACTCGCATATTGCCGTAAAAATTGACTTTTGAAATATATATCACGCGTTTCAACAAGTATTTATGAAAGCTTTCTCCTATCACGTTATCGGTAACTTATATATCTGCAACATTTTATACATTTTATTTCATCTCTTTTCTTTCTTTTATTATGTCACAGTTTCGATCACTGTGCTTGGAGCTGCCTTTTCGTTTTCTATTTGCAAATCTTTCTCTGGAGATTCTATCGTATCAACTACAACATTACTTCCAGCACTGCTCTTTTCTTCATCGTCATTGTTACTTGTGCGTTCTTGAGTTTCGTCAGTGCACTTCGTTACATCCTGTTTATTGCTGGTTTCAATCTGTTCATCTGCAGTAGCAATTCCATCTTCTACAACTGAGATTTCTATCTTTTTCGAGACTTCATCGTCACTTTCCGGTTTATTATCTTCTTCTACTGCAAAATCTTCTTCTGCTACGAAATTTATGTCAGTTGGAGATGGAATTATGACTTCGTCTGTCTGTTCTTCTTTGGGAGAAACACTTCCTGTGTCACATTTCACATCGTTTTCTTCTTCATTCGTATCTTCACTCTGCTTATTATCACAGTTATTGCTTATTATTTCTTCGGTTTGCTCTATTGATAGATTCTGCTCTTCATTCTGTTCATCATATGTCGGATTTTCCACAGACTTAATCTCACTTCTGTCATTATCATCGACATCTTTTACATCAGTTAAATCTGTTTGAGTAGTTTCGCATTCCGACGTCGCTTCCGAAATTGCTTGAATAACCTGCGATTCGTCTGATTTGTTTTCCACCTTCTCGCTTGTCTTATATATTTCAATTTCCATTTCGACTTTGGACTCAGATAAATCTGAGTTTTGCAAAGCAGATTCATCATCTTTGTTTGCACAAACCTCATTTTCTTTATCTGTATGTGAATTTAAATTTTGATTATCTTGTTCGTTCATCTCTATATTGTTCACATCAGGTTCGTCAGAATAATTTACATCGCTTTCTTTTTCGTTCGCAGTTACAATCTTATCATCTTTCAATGGCTTCGCGGCATCCTCCTCCTGCTTTTCAGGTTTAAAACGATAAAGTTCTTGTGATTCCTTGTACTCTCTTCGCGATATCTCCGTTTCGTGATGCTTCTGCGGATTCTCGTTAGCATTTTCTCTTTTCATCTCTTTCTTACGGAAGTAAGGAGATTTATTGCTGAAGTCCTTTTTCTTCGGAGGCTGTGACTTTCGCGAATTAGGGGATTTTTGCAAATTATCATGATAAATACCTTTGGTTTTGTCCTCGTATGATTTTGGACGTGAAAAAGATTCGGAATCGGGAGAAGCTACTTCAACATCTGAGTGACTACTATATGTTACGCGACTCCTTTGTCGCGGCCCAACTCGACCTGTCCCAGCGATGCTTGGTGAATTTACTGGAAAAATAGCATCGAAAGATTGTTTTAAACATCCTCAATTTGAGAACATATTACTGTCGGTTTCGTAATACCTTTGACACTCATCACTGGTCCTTTCATCATGTTTCCTTGATTCAGAGTGACTTTTATGCTCTTGTCGGTGGCAACAACGGTTCTCTCATCAGAACCGGTTGATGCAGAATTTTTACCATGTCCATCTTGATGATAAGTGTTGTTGGAGCGATTTTCATAATTATTATGAAAATGCCTTGAATTTCCCCGATATGAACGATTACCACTGCGATTATGGTTTGCATAATCATTTCCTGCAGAATTGTAAACATGTATCCAACATGAGAGCATAATTTGAGAGTTTCTATGATTTATATAAGCACTTATCGATTCTCACCATTAACGTGGTATCTCCTATCGAAATCTTTATGATCCTTCTTTGCGTAATCTCCTAATTTAGCCTCAGGTCTCATCATCTCGTCTACAATGTGCGCCTGCAACAACTACATCTATGCAATTTGCCGCATCTACACATTGCGAGGCAACGAGTGATCTTTTTTTTATACAATGCGGCTCTCACCTTATCGTTGTCCCACTCTCTGCGCCAATTACCCTCCGCTGTTCTCTGCCTGCTGATGCGGTCTTCATCGATACGATTTCTCTCCGCTCTCCAAGCCTCATACTCTGGCTGATGCTCATCCCTGTGTGACCCTTTGTTCGTCCTGTAATCCTTTTCAAAAAATGTTTCATTGAAAAAAAAAAAATAAATGTATAAATATGTCTAACTACATTAACATGTTTCAAGCTTTACTCTTTGCATCCCATCCTTCCCTCCAGGCTTCCTCCTAAATGTACCCTTTGTATGTTTCTGCCCTCTGTTTTGCGGATTATTCCCTTCCTTTGTACTTTTCACATTGCCTTCTTCTCTCTCGGCATCAGCAAGGAAGTTATATTTGGGATCAGGTGGAGGCCCTTGCCCCTGTAAGCAAGCATTGTGCATGTTTACAATTGCTTGTTTGGTTTAGAAAAATCTATTGAAAATTTATTAAATTACTATTAAATAAAGGTATCACTGTCTTAAATATGTTTTTTTTTTTCATATACCTGAGCAAAGATATGAACTTTTCTTCCTTCGCCACCCGTAGAATGATACTGTTGAGGAGGTTCATGATGCTCTTTGGCAGATTTCGGCTTGGTGTTCGTTCTAGGTGTATTAGAAAAGTCCGGTGGCTCTTTTCTCTCTGGCCAATCTGTAGACGGTACCATTTGCACCAGTGCATTCAGTTTAGCTGCGTTTTTCTTATCTTCTTCCACTTCCTATGTAACAAAGTTTTATTATGTCAATACTGTAGCAATCATTAATTAATCATTCAATTCTTACCTCATGCCTCCTTCTAATTTCCTCATTTTGTTGTCTTATCTTGTTAATTTTCTCCTCAAGTGCATTGGCTGCCATCTGTAATGTACAGAAATCAGACCACTCGATCAACAAATTGGAAACAATAAACAAGACATTGCAATATCAAATTTTTTTTCGTAAAATTCTTATCAAAAACTTCACAGGGAGAATATATTTGATTGTATTTTTAAATAATCCAATGAGACGATAATAAATCGAACAATTCGCACGATCTATACAATAGGCATTCGTGTCACGTCACAGCCGCAAAAGGAATGTCACTTCCGAATTCTCTGTCCCCTAAATAGCCGTTAGAACGAGCGATCCGAGAATAAAATCCGCTCGACCCATCTTTATTAATCGTTAATCCCATCTCCGCTAAAGAAAAAATGCATATAAATAAAACCCAACTAGATTTCTTCCACTATTCCGCCCGACAACAAGAATATATTTGAGATACCACAACGCAGAAAGTCGAGCGGGTCATTATTTTCCCCGCTGCGAAAAAATCGGCGGTACGCGAATTCGCTGCAACATCTACGGGAACGCAACCTGGTTGCAACAAAATGTCAAAAAACATTACATTTTAATCTAATCGTACGACGAATCGCGTTATGCGGACAATCCTGACAAAATCTCATTTCAACGAGTATCCCAACACCGTTAGGACGAATTTTTACTGCACCAAATTTTATAGCCGCAAGGCCGATTGGAGCACACCGATATATGCAGCTGATTCGTCGTGAAAGGAATTTACAATGAGATAAACTTGTTTCGCGTGATATTGCAAAGTGACTGCCGCGGCTGCGATTAGAATCATAACGTACGTCAGTTGAATGTGCAGGAACGTGCTGGACCGAGCGGTGAGACTGCTGGCTCAGAACATCACACGAGACGATTATGTCAGATGCAGGAAACATGCATAACCGCACATAACTGCACTCAGTAAATCTGTCACTTTCCGTGCCGCATGCGCCTCTTTGTGCGAAGTTAAAGGTTTATCCAAATAAACTTGCATACGCTTACATGCTATGGATTGATCCATTTCGTTATGCATTTTCTTATGGATCAATTCATTTCTTTAAGGCGCGTCTCAACGGCAGTAACACGAGATTTATGATGCGAGCAGCATGAGCTAGAAAAGAGCGGACGTTGGACTTTGTGATGGCGCTAATTTTAAAATATCATTTTTTTCTTATAATTTTACATAAATAGTTACAGTTGCTTGTGTAATTTGGCTAATTATTTTGTAACATTTCTCTCTACGATGTTATTATTGTCAAATGGTTCAGCAAGAGTTATTAAAATATTTATATCTATCACTATTAATCGTGACACTCTTTAAATAACCTAGCAAATTGTAGTAAAATATGAAAAAAAGGTTAAGTTCTTGCTAGAATATGTCAAAAAATTATTCAGAAAAACTCGAAAATTCTTCAGGAAACAGTTTTCTTACAGTGAATACTTATTATAAAATCGGTATATTTCTTGAATATATATCCTTACAATTTAGTTCATGTATCAAAATAAATATAATTATTTTGATATACAGTAGCTACAAAGTTTGACCTTTACACCGATTTCATGGATCGGCTAGTCACAATAGTATGCATGATAGATTATTAATAAATATCGAAGTTTTTTGTCCATAATCGCTTATCATGATTAACGTAGACGAAGCGTGGAATGATTTGGCCAGCATTTCTGTTGATCCTCCGGAAGCAAGAGACAAATGTCAACAATGCAAGTAAGGATATATAAATCAAAGATTATTTAATACAAAAGAATGAAGAAGTCTAAAAGTCAAGACTTTAACATTTTTTAATCTATATTTTTTTTTGTAGAAGACCTGTACAAGTATGCTGGTGTCCAGGTTTACCTAAACAGCGCCTTAATCCAGCATCAAGAATAATAATTTTGCAGCACCCAGCAGAAGCGAAGCGTTGTTTGCGTACAGTGCCAATGCTTGCATTAGCATTGGAATCAGGAAAGTGCCTAATTTACAGGTAAAGAAGCATGACTTTTATCTGGATTATTTTTTTTCCAGATTCTATAAAGCTTCAATGGCATAAACTCTAAAAAAAAACGTTCTATTTCTTTCAGAGGAAAGAAATTTCCATTGCCTAAGCACGAAGGTCTAACAGAGATTTTAAATGATAAGAATACCGTTTTGTTATATCCATCGCCTGGAGCAGTTACATTGGATACACTTGATCCAGTTGGGATTAATGAACAAAAGGCATATAATATAGTTCTGCTGGATGGAACATGGCCACAAGCAAAAGTAAACCACTAACTTCAATAAACTCTTTGTATTAATATTTTAGTTTAAATAGCATTAGATGAATTATTTAAACTGTTAGGGAAGGAATAATGCATAGAAAATGAATACACAATTCATTAATTACCATAAATTATTGTGTTTTCTATTATTTGATCTTACATTATTTAATAACATTGTCTTACAGGCGATATATCACTCGAGCCCAGCCTTGTATTATCTACGAACTTGTAAGCTAATTGGCGTACCCACTAGTCAATATGTAATCAGGACGCAACCGACAGAAGGTTGCCTCTCAACGTTAGAAACAGGTGCAAATGCGCTCTCAATTTTAGAAGGTGATCCCGAATTGAGAGAAAAGATGCTGAGTCCATTACATTATTTATGTAGGCAAGTATACTAAGTAATTTCTTTGAATACTTATTAAATTTCTGAAATCTTTTCTTACTAGACAATTACAGTCTTGCTTAAAAACGACTATATGAATCTGTACTAAAAATTTGTCAATGAAATTGTTTCTGTTGCTAGGTTTCAGTTAGAAAACGGAGCCGTGACACATCAGAGCAAAGAATTTCTTATCAAACAAAAATCTTATCCTAAACTAATCGGTAAAAGACTAGCCAAGCAATTACGCATATTACCGGATAATGATACTTCGTAACAAAAAGATGTGTTTTTGAGAATTAGATAGATGAATATCCCAAATAAACTTAAGATAAAGTTTTACTACGATTATTTTCGAAAAGATAATACAATCAAACATTTAAATACAACATTCATCTGTGCAAGCATTCATTCAATTCACTCAACGTGTTCAAACGTTCGTTGATATGCTAAAATCAAACTCCATTTTGCCATTTTGCGGTATGAAGATGAATGACCATGATAGTGTGTTCTGTTTCGTGACATCCGATATCTTGCGAAACAAATGCACACCTTGCCTTGTATAAGGGTCCCAAGACACCCGCTTACCAGGCACCGGATTTTCAATTGGACCACAAGACACTGAGATATCCAAATCCAATTGCCAATCCACCCATATAGCAACGCCGTTACAGGACCCTTTGCTGTAAAATAAAAAAAGATATATCACTAAAAAGAGAGAAATAAAATCTTTGTATTTTCAAATCTTAATAGAACTTGACTTTATTTTGCAAACGTAGTGTTAGAAATACGTATAGCACATTTAGGCGAGCAAAAGAATAGCATGCGGAGCACATGAACGGTTTCATAAGAGCAGTTGACAAACGACCTTACTCGAATTCTCGATTTAATTTCTATTCCAATCCTTCAAGCCTGAAGTTTTTCTCTCCCGTCCATCTTTTCGCCGCCTATATTGAAATAAGGGAAAGATACTTACTTTAAAATTGGAACCTCGCCCGATATTTCAATGCGCTCGGTGTTTACGTTCTGCGTGAGGTCGAACTTTATAATATCGAACGGCTGAGATAGCGCTTTGCAAGGATACTCCCAAAGTGGCTGTGCTTCCTCGGGATTATCGCTTTTATCGCTAGACACCTGCAAATAGAAGGCAATTCCTCTCTAATAACACAGACGATACAAAAAATGCATTCATTTTAATACACAAGACTGCGTACTTGCACGAGTTTGTCGAAGGAAGATAGGTTGAAACCCTCGCAAACGCCGAGAGGCGCTCTTATCTTTTGCAGATCCTTGAACTCGACAACGAGGGCTTTGATCGTTGCCGCAATCGGCGTCCTCGGAATGCTTGACGGATATCGGGAGGCGAGAAACCAGAACCGCAGATTCTCCCAAGGCACGATAGAGCTAAGAAAGTACGGCTCGCCGAAAATGAAGTTAATCTCGCATGCTTTCGGCAGATTGTCGTCCGACTTGATGATTCTCACCCGCTCGGTGAGACCGTTCTCCCGCACGAACATTTTCATGGTTCTCCGCGACAGAAGATTCTTCTCCAGCAAGAATACTTTTGCGCCCAAGCTCGCGGCCGCGAGGGCCAACAAGCAACCGTCTGAGAAGCAGAGACAGACACTTTTCGGAGTGATCTTCTTCCGCAAGACTTGCACATATTTCTCATTGCGAATTGTATCGTTCAGTTGTCCAATACGCGTCCGCGAGTACGCGACATGCGCGAAGCAATTGCACACGGGCATTGGGCAATCTGGAATTTTATCCCTGCAAAGCAAAATTGTGTAATTAACACGATAAGAATGGAATCAACTGTGCAATGTCTATTATTTTCAACAATTTTTACAAAAAGTTGATGTCGATCAAATAATGACGAATAATATAATTTGGGGGATAAAAGAAATAATAAGAGTGCATGAAATTATGAAAAGAAGAAGAAACTTACAGGGGTCCGTTCAACAATTTAAACCAAAAGGAATACTCGTCGTGATAGCCAATGAGATTGACCTCGATGTCGCGTGTGACAGGCACTTCTTCCGGGAGATAATAGACAGCCTGCATCCAGTGATCTCTCCAAGGTATAGAATCCGCCAATTCTTGCAAACGCGAAGTGTCTTCCTTGACGTCATCGGGGACACTTGGATGTTCCCATACAGGCGCACAACTCAGCAACACCTACGACGATAATATAAAGCACAAGTGTATTTAAGAGCTGGCTATTACATGTTTATAATAAAGATAAATTATATAAACGTGTTCAACGTGCGATCAAGTCAGTATGAAAGATTAAAACGATATCAAAGTCGACAATAAACAAACGGAAATTGTAATAATTAAAAGCAAATCCGTGATTAGCAATTTAACACACTATATTTAGGTTGTTACATTAATTGAAGCTTAAGTTTATAATAAAGCATAAAATTTATAAAAGCGAATAGAAATATATCGTATAAAAGTAATTTGAAGATACCTGGTTATCTGTATCCATGTTTAAATCCCACCACATAAAAATTGCATGCGCGGTTCCACTCGTTATCGGCTGCACGCGTAATGATACTTTTTCGTTGTTCAATAAGCGTTCCTTGTCAGACCAGTCGAATCTAAAACACATTTCCGATATTAACGCAAAAGAAAAGCATTCATTTGTAATGCAAGTGCAATTAATTTCCAATATTTGATTTTATCAGCTAGTACTCTACATCTTTCTTTGCAATTAGAAATGTAAAACGATAAAAATTGTTAAAAAGGAAAAAAAGCTTCACCTGAAAATCGGCTGCGGTGGCATTAAAGGTACAAAAGTATTACGAGGTAGACGAGACAGCTGCATGTCGTGCACTGCCGCAGCGCCGGAGCACGCTTGAATAGCCGACGGGGCATCAACTAACGTTCTTCCGTTTTTTATAGACTTCACTCGATTCCAGGCGCAAACTTTGGAGCTTTCGACTACTTGAGCCCATACCGTTCCACTGTGCGGCACAACTATGCTGTTTTTCTGATGAAGGAGTGTAAAGCACATGAGTGTGTGGAATTAGAAAGATTATACGCAAGAATAAGCGTTTGATATTACCTCCAGAAGTTCTTCATGAGCATGGCGAAATGTCGATAACGCTCCTTCACCAATCAGTTCGGTATCAAACACTTCAGTGACTAAAATATTCGCTCGCTTCGACATGTCACCATCCTTGCTGACAGTCATCTTCGTCGAGCGCTTATGAATCAGCTTAATTTTATCCGCATAACCATTCTCTCTTATTATTTGCGCTGCGCAATTGGCCATTGGTTCGAAAGCCTGAAAGATCTCCTCTTGTGAGTAAAGGTTTGGAGAAACGGACAAAACTTTTGTTTACCTCACATGCTGTAATAGTGTCTGCTCCACATTTAGCAGCCATCATAGATAACAAGCCTGTCCCAGTGCCAATGTCGAGCACATTAGCCTCTTCACCCATCCAATGTTTTTTGTCAATAGCAGCTTTAAGAGCAATGTAATACTTTTCATTCTGCCAAAAAAAAGAATGTAAAATAATTTAATTCTATTCAGTTAAAATAATAATGTTATTCAATCAAAAATATATACTGACTCGCTCATGATCATGTAACATATCTGCAAATGCAGATCTTGCTACTTCTTGATGATAATCATAATACTGATCTCTCTCCTCCCACGTGGCAATACCAGTGAGAGGATTCAAGTTTTGAGTGAATATACTCATATTTCGCTTAGGTAATGATCTTATCAGAGTAAAAGCGACTTTTGGCATTTAATTAGAATACAGAAAGATAAGATTTATTTAAATATTTTGCTCTATTTCAACTCTTTATACCTATAAAAAGAATTATATCTTTTAATTATCTTATTAACCGTATAAATCTTAAAATGCTTAATGTGTAGAATGTTGAATGTCAATTATCATTGTCACTGATGAATTTATATTTATATTTAAGTATTCTTAATCATTGAAATTATAGTATGAATAAGGAAGTCTTACTGATAATGCATAGGACGAACTGCTGTAGATAACAATGATAATACATTTAGACTGCCTCGTATATCTTGCACTTGTAACAATTTTTCAGCTATCAATATAACTTTATTTTCTCTCCGTTCCAATGTTCCATAAACTTTGAAAGTGCGAAACTTTTCCTGTAAATATCGTATTATAAGAGAATTGCGTGTCGCGATTTAAAATTATTGGTTATGGAACAGAGAATATATAACACAGCATTCGAAAAGAAACGAAACAATATAAAAATGATAACAGATAAAAAATAGATTAAGAAACTGTTATTTGAAATTCTGTATGAGGAAACAATACATATATCTCTGGCTTTCCAGGCAAAATTAATCACTTTACCCATATAGGCAGATGCCTTTTCTTTTCGTCTTTGAGATATATAGCATGTACGGGAAGCTTCTCCAAGCTGAGAGTAACTTTTAATTCACAGTTAGGCGAAACACTCTGCAATTGAACAATTCGCGCTGCACCGGGTAGAATTTCACCGATGGTTAGCACGTTTTTTATACAGTTTTGCTCATAATCTGACTGGGATGCGTATTGCAAAATATCCTCAATTAAAATAGGAATGTACGGAGTATCGGATGGCAAAAGATTCTCACGAACGGCTAAAATCGCCGGCCAAGAAGATTGCAGATGCACTTGTTTCATTTCGCTCCAAATCCAAAATTGCAATCTATTGCAATTTTATTCCGCATAACACCACGTGCGCGGAAAAAATCAGCCAATCGCGCAATCTAATAGGAAAAATGTAACAACATGACATTCCTTACATTGGTTATTCGATTGGTCAATTTCTTTACGCATAAAGGAGGATTCACATTAAGACCGGAAAAGCAGAATTCTCCATTGTATATGAACTTATCTATGATAGTAACTAAGTTTTTAAAGGCCATGTGGTACTATAAACAAAAGCAATAATTTTTTTATTAAATTTTTATTTAATCTTTTTTATACGGTAATTTCGATTTATATTGAGCAAATTCTATTTGCGCGTTAAACGAAACTGTAAATATAACTAAAAATCTATGAAATTGTTGATATCAAAGAATAAAATATGCATAGGATTTTCATTAACTATAACTTAAGTAAAAAAAAAAATCAATCCTAATAAATATAAATCATAAATTATACACATATGTACATACACATATATAAAAGACATTGCTAACAAGTATCGAGTTCATCTTTAATTTTTTTCTTTTCATGTTTAGCATATACAATGATATATACAACAGTAATCATTGTTACAAATGTAGCTAAGTATAAAAGAACATTTTCAAACCGCAAATGTATGTCATATAAAATATGTTAAAATGTATGTACAACTGTGTTTGAATTTTTCTTCTTCAATATCAAAATGATAAAAATTCTTAAACCATACATTAAGTATAGAAATAATATTACTAATAGCAAGATTATATTGAAATGCATACAAATTTACTACAAATTCTTTTAAAATTTCAAATAATCTTTTTTGCACAATTCTACTGTTGCTGTTAGCGAGAAAGAACATGTTTCAATGTACATGTTTCTAATTTTTCTTTTATTATACAATAGTCAGGTACTCAGACCCGAATTGCATTGGGTCAACTGGATACGACGTTAGGACGCGAACCTTTTGTCCATTCTGAGTCATGAATTCTATCGCCTGTTCACCATCCGCGAGTTCAGCTTGCTCGACACCCTCCAACTGATTGATTGTCGCGACTGCAGTTGCGTCGGTATCCTCGTCCTTAAAAAATTGTTGAAATAATATTATCGCGTTTTCTTAATATCATTAAACGTTTTATCGTAATAATTTTAATATATGAAAAAACATGCAACATGAAACTATGAAATTCTAGATTATGAAGATTAAATCTACAAATCTAGAAATTTAGAAAGCAAAGAATTAATTCAATGAATTAAAAATGCAGTACAAGACTTATAAAAAGATTTGTTAATTTTTTATACTAAATTACCTCGAGCGCCTGGACGATTGCTTCCGCGTCGGTTTGAATTGTTGAAATTGTTCCGACGTTCTTCGTTGTATTTTGATGTGCGATAACTTCATTTTCCTCGGCTACATGCTCTTCATCCAGGTGGATATTTAAAGCCTGTAGTTGTTGCGCAAACATCCCAGGATGAACTCTAATAATCTGGCCGTTACTTAGTTGGCTGATAAAATGTCCCTGAGAGAGAAGCTGTCGAGCCTCTTGGATGGACAGAGGAATCGGATTTCCATCTTCATCAGTGATCTAAAAATAACACGATGAAGATCCATGAAACAAAAACATTATTAGAGTAAGAATAAATTTATTATTTAAAAATCATAGTTATTTGGGTTTCAAAATTAAAAGTGCAAAGCTCAACTTCAATAAGATATGCAACTTCGAATATCGACAAGTTTCAAAATATGAATATTACTTGTGAAACATTTATTAATAAAAATAAGGATATACGCCTTTCTTTACCTGCAAATGTAAATCTGATTCCGATAATTCCACTTTGGAATGCTCTTCATTGGCGTTTGCGTTATTCATAATTTTTTCGTTGATTATTTCTTCGTCTAAACGTGGCAGGGAATTCACGTCCGGTGTTACTTCGACTTTGTTTTTCATTATGCCAGGATCAACTAAATTTTGACAATCAAATAAATATTCCCATTAATTAATAATCGATAAATATATTAGTTAATAAGTTAATCGACATAAATATGATTGTGTACCAAAGTGCAACGTTCGTTGATTAGGATCATTTGGATCCTGATAGGACACGTAGATAATCTGTTGAATCCCATCAGTGGATGCCTCATCGGTGGCGATCACCTGCGTCATTTGATGATTGAACGTCTGCTCGTCAGTTTCCTGCGAATTCGGCAAGATTTGCCACACCTCTCCAATTGGAGATTCCTCCGACTCGTCTATAGTTAATACTTTATTCTCCCTGTGCACCTGTAAAAATTGATAGAATAATTATACGATAATAATTTCTTGCAATCAAGAACTTGAAGTAGTAAAATAACTGTAATACCTTTTTGTGCTTTGTCAGATTTGAGCAGTCAGCGAAAGCTTTACCACACAGTTCGCAAGAATAAGGCTTTTCGCCTGCAAAGAACGAAATAGTTATCGCTACTTAAAATAAATTTATAATTTGCATGTATGAAGAATGCTATTATTAAAGCAAAAAACAAAACAGTATGATAATAAAAGTATTGCGCGCGTTACATTCTCTTATTTATAGATTCGAAATAAAGCTGATCATTTTCAGTTACCAGTATGCAAACGAAGATGTTTCTTCAGCGCCCATTGCTCCGTAAACCCGCGATTACACTGGGTGCATTGAAACGGACGTTCCCCTTTGTGTCGTCGTACATGGCACTTCCACGTGTCCTTGTGCAAGAAGCATTTCGCGCAATATTCGCATTTCCACGGTCGCTCGCCGGTGTGCCGTTTCACATGCAACTTGAACTGGGACGATGTGGTAAACTTCCGGCCGCAAAAGTCGCAGGAATACGGTTTTTCACCAGTGTGGATGCGCATGTGTTCCTGCAGATTGCCGTTCTGCGAGAAGCTTTTCTGACACACTTTGCAGCTGTACGGTTTATGGCCAGTGTGCCACCTGCGACAAGACAATACATAAATATTTAAGAAATCGACGCTATTAAAACTAAAAAAATAATTTAGTCGCAAAAATTTAATTTAAAAAAAAATAGATCTTATTAGATAACCTAAGTTTTGAATTTTTTTAAATTCTAAAATTCTTATATATTAAAAATAAATAATAAACACACAAATTACCTGTGATGCAACGTGAGACTAGTCTTGTGTGCAAATTGCTGTTTGCAAATCTCGCAGAAGTACTTCTTTTCGCCCGTATGAGTGGACTGATGATTAATCAGATTCGCTTTCGTCTTGAAACTGGCATTGCAAGATTTACAAATGTACGGTCGATCATCGGAATGCACTAACTGATGACGTTGGAGCAGTTGTTTGTGTTTGAAGCTTTTGTTACACTTGTTGCAGACGAAACGACGCCCATTGTTGTGCTCCGCTTCTTTGTGATACACGACGGAACTGGGATGATTTAGGACCTTGCCGCAGATATCGCAAGGATATTCCTTTTCTGATTTTGAAACTTTCTGCAATATTATGTAAGAATTTAAGATTCAGGACTGTATTATGTAAAAATGACTAACATTTTAAATAATTTTTATTTCATTACATATAAATAGTGTAAAACACATACCTTGTGCATTGTCATGTGCATCTTCAAATTCGACTGGTTTGTAAAACTATTATTGCAAACGGAGCAGGAAAACTTCTGTTGATCATGAGCCATTCTTTCGTGCAATTCATATTCTTGTTTTGATTCAAATTGCTTATCGCACTTTTTGCAAGTGTGAGGTGTGTCACTATTGTCTTTTGTAGTCTCAGTTGTCGTCGCGAAGGAATCCTGTTCTGTGCTGCTTGTTGTTTGTACTCTCTCAAGTGACTTTTGTCCTTCAGTATTTTCTTCAGCAACATTTAAACTATGCTCAGTAGTTTTCTGATGTAATTCTAAATTTTCCTTACTATCAAAGAACTTCTTGCATTGTGCGCACTCGTACTTGATGTTTTTGTGAAAACTCCTAGAATATATTAAAACTTGAAAATTACAATCTATACACGCTCGCGCGTCTATTTTAAAAACCTGATATTTTAAAATTTAGCAAGGCTCTGTGATTTAATGATTAAATTCAAAGGTACAATGATATAAAAGTCATTCTTTTGTTGTTTTAACTTTGAATCTAATATTTTAAAATATAAAATTTTCAAAATTTATATATTT